TCATACGATTAGCTTAGTGTGCATATATATGCGACCAATCGCAGATGTAGAGGTGGTTAAGGTTGAGCTGAGGCCTCGAGGAGTTGGCTGGAAAGGGCGGCGTGTGGTACGGTGTGCGACATGTAGACGTGTGTGTTCGAGCTGGAGAGTCGATTCGCAAGGACATGGGCGTGGGAGATACTGGTACAATGCGGGATATATGCTCTCGTTTCTTTGCTGGGCCCGAGCGCTGATACAGACGCGCAAACTATCGCGACGTTCTGGAAGAACTGAGGCTCCAGATGATGGCTGTGACTGCACGGAAGGCGGAGCGGTGCAGGACCTGTTGGCACGCCACATTCGGTCCGTGACACCTGCCATTGAAGAACCCATTGATGTCGCAGGAGCAGACTTCTGCGCACGTTTCCTGTCAAAAGCGCAAAACATCTGCTTGCAGTGGAGGGCATTGCACTTGCATACAAGATGTCAGGAGATGATGCGTGTTGACAGCCGCTGACGCCTGCTGCTCCCTCGCAGACGACTTGATCAGAGGCTTCGATGCGTGGAAGCGTCGCGCCGCAAGGGCGTGTCCTTGTAAACCTTGTATCCACGAGGCAAGTGGCGGTGCGCTGCCGTTATATAGCCCCGCAGGTGCGTCGTCCGCCGTCCAGCCTTGTACATCTCATTCGCCCTCACATCCTCACATCCTCCAGACTTGTATACGTCTGCCTCGCGTCTTGGAAGATGTCGCGCGCCACTGGAGCTGATCTACCACCTGAAGTACTATCATACATTCTCCAGTGTGTCCCGCCACGTTATCTCGGGCTTGACTTAGACGAACGTCGCAAGTTGAAGCGCGGGCTCGCTGGGCCTGCCCTCGTATGCAAGTGCTGGTCCGAAGTCATCAGACCTTGGCTCTTCCGAGAATTCGAGTTGCGCAGCGCCGAAGACGTACGGTTCCTCAAGAATATCGTCAGCAGTCCCGGATTCGCAGCTTCATGTCTGTCCGAGTCCATCAAGTGGATATATATCCGCCAAGAAGCTACGGGAGCTAAGCCCTGGCTTCACCATGTTCATGGACTTTCAACCCGACTCCAAGGGACGAAATTCCGCTGTGTCGCCAAGAACCGCGCGGGCGATGCTGCATCAGCAGCCGGCCGCTGGGCCCCATTCGAGTCGATACCCACCGTCACTCCATCCTATGTCCGACTTTCCGATCTCACTCTTCACGATGTTGTATTCACGAGCAAGACCGAGCTCGTACGGCTCGTCGACAATTTCCCCACGCTCGAAAACTGCTATTGCGAGCGACTGACCTTCCTTGACCCGTTGCCGCCCGCCCGCCCACGCAGACTCCGCCGACGTTCTCCACCGACTCGCCACAACTTCCGATGTACGATACGTTATTGTAAAGATATGGTGGCTCCCATTCAAGCGGCACTTGCTGCAGACATCGTGGACCCTGCTCGCCGCATGGGCCTTGACGACCGCACATGGGACACAGCCCTCCAGGGACTACTTGCGTTGGCGCCAAACAGACCAGGGCTGACGGTTGTGGGCGGCGATGTGACTGGTAGATATTCTAATTTATGCAAATAGCACAAAGCTCACTGGCGGACCCTCACCAGACGCGGTGCGGATCCATTGCTATTCACTCAGTCCAGGTCAGCCTGCGCGCCGCGGCATCATCGCTGAAGTTAGGTTTTGCCGATCAAGTGCGGGCCAGGATGCGGGGCCTACACTCGCGCATATCGAGAGCATCGATCTCGAACTCCGACTTGGCGATGTCGGAGTTGCGGACACCCTTCCTTGGGACGGCTTGCGAGCCGTCGTTGATTCCCCGCACATGCGCCGCCTTTGTATCAAGTATAATGGGCCGGGGAATGAATGCTTCGAGGGCGCGAAGAAGGTCTTGTGCTCTGTGCTGCGCCGCTCGCAGCTGACCTGGGCTCTCGAATCAGGCAAACTGCAATTCGAGAGAAATTACCGTCCTGAGAATTCTGTTACGAGAGAAGACATCTTGTCAGTACCGACGAAGCACACCATCGACGGCACCACGATCACTCTCGACATCGCCGAACAAGCCGAGTGGTTGCTGCGCCCGGTCCACGCTCGCTCTGGATACGAAGCAAATGGAAGCAGGGAGCATTACTTACGAGAGCTCGTAACGAACCGTCCGAGCGGACCATCCACGGACGCAGCCTCAGGGACCGCGCCGCCCACTGCAGATGGCGCTCAAGACACGGCAGTCGAGCAGACGTGGGAAGCGGCGGAGGGAGATGGGCCGGTAGGCGAACAGGGCGAGGAAACGGGCGACGTCGGCGACGAAGAGAGCATATAGGGGAGAGGGCATAAGACCGGCATGGGCGTCGAATGCGGGTAGAACGCGTCGTCGACGGGCTGTTGCGACTGCGCAGACATTTTAGTTTTGTTTGTTTCATGAATTTTGTCTCTCCTCTGGTTGCATTCATTTGGACGTTGCTTATGATTCCTGAGCTCGATTGTCGCTTACTATCTTCCAGTTTCGGCCACGGTGTGCGCCATTTGTATTTGTCCATATTATTTATGCAACG